AAAGAGTGACGATTGATTCTAACATAAAACAAGAAGGCGACACAAGAAAAATACGTTGTGTTTCTGTCCCGAGTTTTTAGTTGGAAGCGGCGACGAGCCCAAATTAAAAGGATTCCTCAGACCCATCGGCACGCACCTTCCAGGAAGGTCGTTGATTCAATGGGATGCTTGGGGCCAAATAGTTTTGAAGGTACCACACCGTGAATGTGGCGCTAAAACCCCCAAAGGACGTGGGACTCCTCCCAAATACCGCTAGCTGCGCCCCCTGTGCCTCCACCCGCATTGTAAAATCGATCTGGCATTCAAACGAAAATAAAAAAGAAAAGGGACTTTATTTCGTTAGTGGCCATTTTACTGTGGAATAGTCACGAACAGTAGATTTGGATTTTAACACTGTTTATCTGTAATGTGTTCAAATAGTCGTCGATGAGATAAAATTCGTCTGATGAAAGAGTTTTACAGTCTTGTAAGATATTGCTGCATATTTTAAAAAGTTGTAAATGTTATTGATGGTATTATTATCGCAAGTTTATTTGGGCGTAGTTTTAATTATTGAAAACCGGCTACTTACTTTGGAAAAAAGACAAAAAGTAAATGTATTTGGAATTATTTTTATTTCTGAAATATAACCCTAATTACAACCAACGTATAACTAACTAGGAACCAAAAAAGCAGTCTAATTTTTATCCTACCAACTACAGTATTAAACAAAAACTAAAACGTCTGTTAGTTTTTTTGTGAAAAATACTTTACATCGAGGTTAAAAAAGTTTTATCTTAAACTGTATAGGTGTATGTGAGCCAAATTTACAATTCTATAAAAGATTTACACCACCAATGAATTTACGAGAAAATAGAAAACTAAACTCTGTAGAAATGTATAACAAAATGCATCTTGAATGTATCCAAGCCGTGTGGCTGCGTAATGGAATATGGAAAACAAACTCAAATAATTATTTCGACTAGACACTCCTGGAACATCATCAGAACCAATGTCATCAAGCACGAATCATGTTCTGATAGTCATTATACAATTGGCTGGAAGTGACTTCACATGTGTGGGTGAAGCCGAAGCATATAACGCTTCGCCGAAGCGTTATGACGTCATTACCAGTTTAGCTCAGCACACTTGGCAGCTGGCACGTTTTGTACCAGCGTTTGGTTGTTATTCACGTTCACGTACAATCTTGTTGATTGTTTATCATTGTTGATAACATTCCGGGAACGATGACAACGTCGTCTCTGGGTATAGTCCAGTGGAAATTCCATGAGTCACCCACGTCTCTGATCATTGTAGTCGCCAAGCTGTGTTCAGAAGGTATGAAGGTCGTTTACTATCATTACTCGACGGCCTTGTTGATTGTGACGTCATTACACCCAAACCCGCCTTCTGTTCTAACCTACAACCTACGACTGTGGCCAGGCGAATAAAACACATCTTGATCTCATTTTGTTGGTAATAAGCTGAAGGATATGAGCATTGACTAAGGCTTTTTTCCTTGTCTGTGATATGAGTCAATCTTTCAATAGTGAGAGCGCAAATAAACAATTCGTTTACTGATTGTTATGGAATAAAGAGAGTCACGCATCGTTCTATGAAATTAAGAGTGTGTCTCACCCTTTAACACTGTGATGACGTCTTGATAGAATTGTACTGAAACTGTTTTCCAATGTTGTTAAAAATGTATTAAAGCCTACCGGATTGAATTTTCTTGGTTTCAGTTGTAAATGTATTAAAGCCTACCGGATTGAATTTTCTTGGTTTCAGTTGTATATACAACTGAAACCAAGAAAATTGTATATACAACTGAAACCAAGAAAATTCAATCCGGTAGGCTTTAATACATTCCCTTATGATTAAGGGACTCATCAACATATTTTCACTTGTTTCATATACAGAAAAATGTACTCGATCTGTACGTCGATTCTAATTAATTTATTGTACCCAACTTTCCGCATCTCCAACTCAATGTTCACATTTTTACAAAAATATCACTTAACCATCTGGTTCAGTTCTCGGGAAGATATCCTCACCTCACAGTATCTGAAGTCATAATTTTTATCAACAGGGGTTTCCTCTAACTAGGTAACTTCAATACACGTTTTACCAACTTTGTATGAAACCTATGTTTTTGTACGTAGTAAATTCCCTATTCGCTATAGATCCTCTCAGTAACAAGTTATGACATGTTCAGGGAACAAGTAGTAAGCAAATGGCTACTGGCAGATGTTCCTAGTCCTGTACCCCAGTTGTCTGTATCGTAGCTCGTGCCGTGATGTAGCGCATCTCCCAGCTGTCTTTACCCTGGGCTGAGCAGATGTTATACCACCTGCCTCTGTCCGTAGTCTGCAGCTCTTTTGTACAGCCGCTGCACGCGCCAACCTCCTAGCCTTATCTCTATCTCCACTCAGAAACCGTGTTGGAAAACTTTCGTCTCTACAAAAATATGTTAGAAAATTTTCCAATAATAAAGTTTTTTCCAATTTAATAGTCCAACCTTGCCCCTCAGTTTTCTCTTAATCATAGAAAACGAGTCTTTAAATTATTGCACACAACTGAAAAATCAATGGTGCCTAGTTTTGACCCAGAAAATGTTTTAAACAAAATTGTGGTAATTAATTTAACAGTTTGTGAATGCGATTTACTACACTATACAATATATCTGTTTGTACTTTCCTAAATAACAATGCCGCAGTGCTCCAATGTGACAAATCCGGCTAATCTGTAAATGAAGAATCAGAACTAGAGAATGCTTCTTTTTAGTCAAACCAAGATAGTTTGTACCCTACTCTTGCTAGAACACAATTTTTATTTTGATGGACCCAGTGTTGGAGTTTTGATAGAGGACTAGGGTGATCACATACAGCAGAGCTTGTACTATTCTTTATAGTAAATAGGCTATATATTAGTCTTTAAAAAATTGAACTGTAGCCTATTGGAATTTGGAGCTTATGTGACAGTTTATAATGATGGTTCATTTCATTCAAGCATTTAGTGTAATCAAATTAAAATAATATTGTTACTATAAAGTTACCCTGCTGTAACTGGTGATTGGGAGGATAAAAAATCAATAACTTAAGATTCCAAAACTCATGGTTGTAAAAATTAGACTTTTGAATACATCTTGCTTTATAAGAGCTGTAATAGGAATTCATTAAAATTTGTTCAAACACATGCCTAATGATGGTTATATAAACAGAAAGGAGATAACAAGTGTCATCAGAGGTTGGGTAAAAAGGAAGTTGTGAAACCCATGTGCTAATCCAAACCACAACATTTCACCAACCATTTCAGACAAACATTTTCTTCACACTGAAAATACTGAATATAAGCACATTGTTTGGAAATACAATATGTGTATGCTAGATAATGTATAATCCACTTTCTCCTTCCTTTTTAGTCTACAAGATAAAGTTAAACTTATTTCCATAACAAATCCCTTGTATTGTCAGATAGATTGTGAGATAAGATTAGCGAGGTGTCCTAAATTAAAAGAATTAATAGCAAAGTATTACTAAGCTATGATGATGGTTGCATCAGATACATTTGTAAACATTAACAAACTACGAACATGCAAAGACAGGGTGACATGGATACTTCTGATATGGAGATTGCAAACAAAGATAATAATTTGAAGTTAATCAATATTGGGAATTAAGTATTTTAGTGAAGGTTAAAGTGGTTGAAAGAGAATGTAGACTCATTTACAAATTTAGAAAGAACAGTCAAGTAACAAATTTTACTAACAAATCCAGATATCAAAACCAGAAAGATCGGATAACCCTCAGGCCACTTTTGGGGGGGTTGAAGACCAAAAATAAGCGGTTTATAGCAAGTTCCCTATAACGGAAGTATTTAGTGAATTTCCCTATAGGGAAGTAGCTACTACCATTGGTGGGACAGACAGTCTTAGATCCGAGACCGATTTACTTGACATTTTCATTTTGGTATCCCTAGAGACCAAAAATACCATTCGTTAAATTTTTTTGTGTATGTAATAATATGTGTCTGTGAATGCAATAATTCGAGCAATTTTGGTCCAATTTTGATGAAAATGAGTTGAACTATTGAAGTGTCTGGGTATGTGTGTTACTCGTTCATACATACTATAGTGATCCAATGATATTTCATACTTAAGTTCATAGGGTCTCCAAATGTAAAGTTTAATGAGAAAATACCCAAAAGGCTGCTTCCATCGGAATTTTAAATGTTTACTTGCATAATGGACTTTCACTATTCATTAGTAAATTGCTGGTAAATATTTACTTTTGTTTGTTTGCAAAACTATTCCTTATTGTGTTGCTCTGTTGGTTAGGACTACAAAACAAAACAAAGACTTCAATATTGTTGTTTATAGTATATTTAGATTTCAACCAATGAAATTGCTTGCTATCATTTAATATTTACTGATTAAAGGTCTATCTTGATAGTTCTTTATCCTCTTGTTACCACATCATCGTTTTCATCCCCCTCCTACTAATTTAGTCATGTCACTAAATATATACTCTGTGGTCATCTGTTGTTTTGTTGTACCTCTTAAATGTTTTAACAAACACGGGTTTAGAAAAGTAGTACAATCAAACAATAAAACAGCAGCATGAAATAATAAAAACACCAAACAATGTGATATTACATTCATTATGTAGCAGTAAATAATAAAAAAACATACCAATACAGTTATGGTCAACTAGTTTGAGATACAAGACAAAATTATACCTAATTTGGAAGCTATACTTTTGAAAGTTGGATTTTATGATAGAGATAACATAGCGACTATAGTAAATGGGACCAGGGGCACAAGAGGTTTTAGGTTATACTTTATACTTATACTTTTTAGTGGAATGGCGGCTTAGGTTTGTTAGGAGTGCAAGAAAGGGAGGCACAATCGTCTCAGGCCCATAGTGTGCCACATGCAAACTGCAGGCCTGAGAAATAATCAACTGTTTTAAGTCTATCACCTCATTTTGATCAACTGGTAAGGTAAATAAGAAACAAGAAACCAATGTTAAAATGCCTAATCATTTAATGATTCTCCTCCGATAAATAAAATAGTCAATGTACAGTGCTACGGACTAAGATCACAAATAGTTATAAAACATGCTTTCCCACAGACGCCAAACTATATCAGGATAACAATAAGAACTAAATTATGTACCAAAATAACTTTAGCAGATAACCTGTCATTCAGAATCTGAATTATCTATTTATACACTTAAAGAATTCATTGGACATTGGCTTACTACCTAAAAGTAAATCCAAGTACACTATGACTCAAAAGAAATTAAAAAAAGTTAAGTCAAATCGTAAGTTTAACTAATAAAACCTCAACTTCTAACAACAAACAGTTCAGAATCTTTTATGTAAAAACATTTATAAAAACAGGCAATTTTTTAAAATTACAATTGTGCGGATAAGAAATTTAGCTAAAGTTGATTCATTAGTACAAAAACAGAAATGAAATATGCTATAGAATTGTGGGCACTTAGTACTGATTACAAATACAGCTTAGGCCTATATAACAATCCCAGATAATTAACATTTACATTTGTGCTAGAATAAAATATTGTCAATTTCAAGCAACAAATTCACTTATTTTAATGTATTATGTCTATTAAAACCTTTCACAGCTATGTATGCGGGTAAAACTCAACAATAAAAGCTCAAAGTTATACTTGACGTGTTGCAATCTGTTAGTTAAGTTTAGACAACTACCATTGGGCTTTAGGTTGACGAAGATTGTTTACTCAATACGCAAAAATACTCATGCAATTAATGTGTAAATTAATTAAATTGTAATTAATTTAATTATTGTAATTAATGTGTAATAATCAGTCTATTATGTATTAATTTATTAAAACCCAATAAAAATGTCAATGTTCTGGCCATTCTGGGTAACTCGACAACCCCCAAACTCGAACACCTCTGGATCCACAAATTGTCAAGTTAAAAAAAGTTAAATTGTTACGGTAGTGAGGTTTTACAGTTGACCATTTGTCTCTTTATTGATTTTTATATTTTATTAGTGATATAAAATGCTAAAAATATAAAATAAGTTATAATAAATTGTCCCTGATTTCCATTGACTTCAACCGACCTCTGCCGTTTGCTCCTAATGCCTGCCGATCCCACCCAGCATCTGCCATTTGCTTCCAACACTGCCAAACACGCTAATTAAAATAAAATAATTTTATGACCTTTAGACCAATGCCAGATAATTGGAATTGCCGGACAAACAAAATAATAATAGTGCTGCACCCTGTTGGGAAACCTTATAACTTTTTAATGCTATTATAGAACCAACTTGTAAAGTTGAAATAGCTGACTAAATTCTTTAATTCCCTTTAAATATGAATACTCATAAAGTTAACATGGGGAACTACAGACCCACTGGGCGGAGCCCGAAAGGATTTTTGAGATAAGAATATGCCTAAATGTTAATAGGGAATGTGAGCTATCATCATGCCAAATTTCAGCCCAATCAATCCAGTAGTTAATGAGTGATTGAACTTCAAACAAACAAACAAACAAATAAAAAAACACACAAACTTTCACATTTATAATATTAGTAAGATAAAATCAAAGATAATTGTTACGTTTCGCAATAGTTGTATAAAGTTTTAGCCTCTTTGTAAGATATTTTATCAGCTTTATTCCATAGAGTTTTTAAATTGAGTACCCTTCTCATCAGAAACTATTGTTTGTTTTGTTGGTAGTTTTGTAGCGCTTGTACAACATTAACACGTTCGCTGCGCCACGTCAAATGGCAGGCAAATCCCCAGTGCGGCGTAGCCCGCAGCGTCGAACAAACCCGATTGCCGCGTGTGATTGACTTTCCAATTTCGGTCTGACGAATAGCAACTAACGTGCAGGGATGTCCTGCTTTAGGCCTACAACGAGAGTCGACGTAGTTCGCTAAACACCCACAGATAGCAGCACTGCTTGGAACGTAGTGGGAAACCCTGTTGGGAAACCTTATAACTTTTTAATGCTATTGCATATTATAGAACCAACTTTTTTAAGTTGAAACAGCTGACTAAATTCTTTAATTCCCTTTAAATATGAATACTCATAAGGTTAACATGGGGAACTGCAGACCCACTGGGGCGGAGCCCGAAAGGATTTTTGAGATAAGAATATGCCTAAATGTTAATAGGGAATGTGAGCTATCATCATGCCAAATTTCAGCCCAATCCGTCCAGTAGTTTATGCGTGATTGAGCAACACACAAACTCACAAACTTTCAGGTTTATAATATTAGTAAGATTCGCTAAAATTACAGACGATTTAGAGTGTGTTATTTTTAATTCTTTTTTTTTTTAATCATCACCACTTTCAACCTCCCTTGATGAAATGGTTTTAATAAAAAAATAGGGGACATGTCTATCAATTGCGCCTACTGATAAAGCAGAAAATAATCATTACCAATATTTACACATTTTTGGTCAAATCACACTTCTGATCCTGACTAAATCTATTCAAAAAACTCAATTTAAAACCATTAAATGTTGATTAAGTCAAAATATGATTTGTTAAAAATAAGTAGGTGCCTACACATGATACATTTTAGTTATTTACAATTCATAACTTAAAACTTTGTTCACATGAATATTTATTAAAATAATAGGTTTTCAACGATTCTGTAATAATTGGATCAAGAGATACGTTTACCAGCATGTATCAACCTGCTGACCTGGACGGACCGCAGGCGAGTCAGGACAGGAATGTCCGCACAGTGGCTTTAATCGTCCGTCGACACACCGGACAGTCGCTGAGACTGTGTGCACAGTTGACGCAAGTCACTAGGTGGCCGCACGGTAGGAACACAATACACACTTCGCTATCCATGCAAATCTTGCACAGCCTTGCTTCCCGCAGACGACGGATCTCCTCCTCCAGTGTAACTGCAGATCATGCAAATTGGTTATAATAGATTAAACACAGTCACTTATGGAATTATTATATCAGCTAAGGGCAATTTTAAGATATGTTTCTGCCCTTGTTATTAAGGGCAGGCCTATAGTTGATTAATTACATTTTTTTGTTATTTAATAACCTTGATATATTTGTAAACTATTGCTTTTCCTTTGGTATTCACTACACCAGATGCATGACTGTCTGTTGGCAAAGCTTATAATTAGGGATGGGCCGATTCCGATTCTCGATACCAGCGGTATTGACAAACTGACTAATGCATTTATTTCACAATTCCTGGTCAGAGGTCCAAGGGTAGAATAAGGTATAAAATAGAATTTTAGACACTAGGACATTCTGTGGCTGGCCCCATTGATGAGATGTCTACTTCAGAATCCAATAGTCAATTACAACACTATGAACCAGCTGATTGTATTATGTTGTTTCATTTACTTTGATAACATTAGTGTCCCAAATAACAGTAGTGAAATGTTTCATTAAAGAAAGGAAGTGGTTGTTCGAGATTTTGCTGAATATCTGTGAGTGTGAAAATGTTAAAATTTGTTCTACAATATTTCACAGTTTTCCAGATTTCGGCCATAGTAGGCCAACAACGCTTTGCAAATGAATGACTATGAACATCTAAATATTGCTTTCGGGAAAATTAATACAGAATGTAAATTCGAAAAACATGTACATTTTGAAGATTAAATTGCAGGTAAGTACTGTTTGAAAGGGGAAGTAAAATCAATTTTGCTAATATGAACTGAGCGGTACAGGACACATTGATGCAATTATTGATTTAAAATTAGTTTTTGTAGCCAATATTGTGCATAGCTTTTTGACCCGGACAACAACAGGTTTTGCTGCTAGTATAAATAATTCCAAGTTCATTAGCTCACATTCATAATCGTTGTATAATCCAAAACAGCGTGCCTTTGCATTTTACAACGAATGACGTGTTTAACTAACATCAACTAATAACAAAATTCCTCTCACCAACACACCTGCACATCAGTTGTTGGGGCCTCCCCCTATAAGACCCTTGCATTTCCAATGGAGGGAGGTATCATGGCAAGAGGTTAACAATGTTGTAGCTAACCTTTCACATTCAAAAACGATGGATCACTATTGGTTTTCAAATTATAGCATCAACCAAATGATTCATTTCATAAGTGAACCTCTTGGCTTTTTGTATTACAGTAGTAAATGTTTGAAAATTTGTTATTTCTCTGACCTTCTCAAAAAGTCTAAAATTAATCCAATATATAAAAAAGTGATAAAATCTTCCTAGTAATTATCGTCCTATTTCAATAGCTTAGTGCCAATTTTTTTTACAAAATTCTTGAATGTTTCATGCATAAACAAATCAATGAATACGTGCACGCATTTGGTACATTTGGCACGCATCACGACGGTTGATCGAATAAATGTTAAGTCGTTTTACGTGTGTTCTGTGTTTTGTATTTTAAATTTATGACGAACCTGAGAAGAGGATAAACCTGAGGATGTGGCAGTTGTCACGAAACATGTAGTTTGTTTGAACAACATTAACTCACCATCACCAACAATGAACTTCAAACAAAGAACATGTAGTTTGTTTACAAATACCAAACTAGGATATTGTAAGGTAACAAAATAATTTTATTAATAGGCCTATAAAGCAATATCTAGAAGTAGGACGATGAATTCTGTAATTAATTAGGGCCTAAATCTATAAATGCATTTTAAAAAAAACTGTTTCACTAACTTTATTTGATCTTACAAGCTTTTGACTATGTACCTTATGATATTTTATTTTAAAAACTTGAATTTTATGGTATTACAGGTGAAACTTAAAATTTTTTAAAATCTTACTTAACCAATAGGAAGCAGTATGTAACTGTTGGAGGCAGTCAGTCTGACATAAGTGGTTGATGTAATTTTATCAATCTTATCCTGAGATTCTGTGTATTCGTATTCAGTTTTTAGATTCAGGTCCAACACATCGCTTAACTAGATCATGATATAGTCACTAATCAGGTCACACAATCTCAGAACTATCCCACCTTTCCTGTCCGTTCCGATTGTGTTGATGTCAGGCACACTAGTGTTGGGAGGCGGGGACTTCTCTGCAACTGAAACTCTGGAAAACAAAATAAAAATAATTACAATATTGAATACAAACTTTTTACTTGTATCAAACCCAACGCTATCCAATTAATTTTTTAACACTATTAGGTATTGCCTTACATACCTACAGTTACAGGTAGTAAGACCTTTTATGAATTTGTTAAAATAGATGCTTACTTTTTGAGATGGGATTCAGATTCTTCTGAGTCTGAGGAATCTCTGGACGAGGTTATCTGATCTCTCAGTCGAGACAAGAGTCTCTCATTGGGCCTGCGATGGACGGGAGAGTGCAGAGGAGTACTCCTGTTACAAACATTACGAGTTAAAATAAAAGCGTATGAATATTCACACTACCTAAATGCTCAAACACTAAGTAGTTTAGTCAAAAAAACCTTACAATTTTGCTAATTATTTCCTGAAATTTGTTCATAAAAAGATTTCAGCTAATAGGCCTATAATACTGAATACTTAATACTGAAAGATTTTTTTACAAACAGAAAAACTGTTAAATTTTACTATGAAACTAGCATCCACTTTGTGACTTCAAAATGGGTCCGCGGAATTGGCTAACTCTGGAACTCGCTAACCCCATGTTAAACGCCCTATCTTCAAATTTGGTCGATGAGAGGAACTCGCTAACTTGTTCGGTTTCGGAATTGGCTAACTCCGGAACCCGCTAACCCGCTTTAGAGCCGGGTTAGCGAATTCCGTCCTCGTACGGAAGTCGCTAACTCGGTTTCTCGGCGGAACTCGCTAACTCCCAATCAGAAGCCTCGCGGGCCGTCCAATGGGAGCCAAGCACGAATATTTTTGGCCAGTGTTGCCGAAAGTGTAGTACCTATATCGTATCGGTACCATAATGTCGTATCCTACCATTAATTAGGAGTAAGAGCAACGTAGTCGATAAAATAAATATATTTGGAAGTATGTTTAACATTATTCTTATGATTATTTGGGTGGAAAATGCATTATAGTCTTACCATAGACTAACCAACACAAGTAAACTTTACATCCCATTGTAAACTTTGAAGCTCGTTTTTCGTGTCTAGTTCATGTCCGGTGACACTGATTGCTAGTGTCGGCAAAATTGTGTTTCTATTATTTGATAGTTAACTTCATGATTTGTTCTTTACTGTTTGGTTATATAACTAGGGGACGTGTTATTAGTTGTGATTAGAACGTTTTATTTTGTTAAACGAAGTTTTTAATGACTGAAAACAAGAAACAGTTGTAAACAAAACACGACCTCTAAAGACATCAGTGCACCGGACAGAGCTATAAAACTGTCTTCAGCTGATCCATAAGGATGAGAAATCATACTAATATTATAAAGGTGAAAGTTTGTGTGTTTGTTTGTTTGAAGTTCAATCACGCTTTAACACACTACTGGACGGATTGGGCTGAAATTTGGCATAATGATAGCTCACATTCCCGATTAACATATAAGCCTATTCTTATCTCAAAAATCCTTCCGGGCTCCGCCCCAGTGGCTCTATGGATCCCTATGTTAACCTTATGAGTATTCACATTTAAAAGGAATTAAAGGATTTAGTCAGCTGTTTCAACTAAACAAGTTGGTTCTATGATATGCAATAGCATTAAAACGTTATAAGGTTTACCAACAGGGTACAACACGATTAGGCCATTTTTTGTTTGAATTTTTGACAATACCTAATTGAACTAAGCAGCAACAAAAGCTGTAATACGCAATGAGAACTATCAAAGTAGGATATTGTTTAAAGTTATTTTTAGGCTTATATGACCATTTAATGAATCATTTGTGATATTGTGCAAAGGTTTGATCGTTTGTGTTGTTGTTTAGGTGCAGTAGTAGAGCATTATGGCTATGGTAAATGTGTTATACTATAGCATACCGTAAACTTCAAGAACCAAATTTTATCAAACTGTGTCGTCCCCCATTGCAAACACAAAGTTTGAGTATGTCTGCAATAAACATTTTACACTTATATGCCAACCCCGTACGAAGGACGGGTACTCTGCTAGTGTACTAATATAAGGGAGTATGTGTTATATGTGGGTCTCTTACTTAAATAGTAGCTTTTTGGTATGCAAAAAGATAAAAATGCACATTTAATTTGGATCTATTATACATGTTATGAAATATCTATTTTCGTAGTCCGCCATTTGTATCTTTTATCCGAATAAATACCATTTTGTGAACTTCTGCAAATAAAATTATTGAGTTCGCATTTTATATACTGGGCTTGTAACCTTGAATCATAAATCATAATTAAATTTACACGTTAAACGTCATTACAGAATTACATTGTAGTGGTACAGTTGAACCTCTATAAGACGAATTTCAAGGGGTACGGGAAAAATTTGTACTATAGAGGTATTCTTAATAAAGAGGGTCGTTTTATCGAGGTTTAATGCTGCTGTTATTCTTCTTATAGAGGTTTCTCTTTGCTCCAAGGTTTCTCCAAACAATGACTGAGGAAGGAGGAGGGATGGGTGGGGGTTTCATGTTGAGACAAGCTTCTGTTTGTTTTGAAAACTACGTACTATGGAGGTTAAGATTATGATAAATTCGTCTTATAGAGGTCACGTTCGTATTGTAGAGGTTTTGTGCTAAGAATATTCGTTGTATAGAGGTTAATCAGTCCTAGCCCATGTCACAAACAAATTCGTCTTATGGAGGTTTTTAACTTAATTACTACGTTGTATAGAGGTGTTTTTAGCATTGACCTATATGAAAGTGTCAAGGGGATTTAAAAAAATTCGTCTTATCGAGGAATTCGTTTTATCGAGGTTCGTACAAACGAGGTTCAACTGTAATGTATTTTTAAATAGAGCTATTGAATTTAAATAAATATTCATCAATACATTATAAAGTGGTAGGCTTAAAATGTATTCATGGATTGCATTAAAAATGAGTCTATGCATAAATACAACTTGCAAATTTCTTTTATCATAGGCTATTATCGTGTAGAACCCGGGTCATCCTCTTAATTTTGTTGAATTAATATTAATTTTACGTCTTTCAGTAGACCTATTTTCTAAAAGTCTAGAGTTTTTCTCCAGGCTTGTTCTAAATGCACCCAGGCGTTCTTGTTTGTTACAATTCTTATGAATGGTGGCCATAGCTAAAATTACTTGATCTTATCCAAAAACAAAGCTATTGTCTATTGTGTAGCTCAGTACCGGTGAATGGTGAACCGAGCAATGGCTTGGTATAGTTTATATAGTTTGTGAAAGCAATATAAAGGAAACCCAACACTCAAATCAGGAAAATCAGTCAATTCGTTTATTAAGAATCGTGAATTAAAATAACCCTGTCACGTTTTATTATATCAATATTATATCTTCTCCTATTTTTTACTAGTGGTGCTTAGGTGTACAATCTAAAAACGGTTTTAAAACATGTAATATTATTGCTAAAAAATTCAACACATTTTAGAATTAGGCAACTATTTACTAGTAGACCTACAATGCTTTGGTTCAAACTATTAGGCCTAGATAAAAACTTAGTCTATGTCATCATATTTGTACACGTAAGTTGGACGGTTCAACGACGAACATTTGATTTTAAATCTATGAATTAGTTATGAAAGTTACGATAGTTGATGACTGTATTAATTAATGGTTTCGGTTTATTACGACATTACGATTAAATCTGTTTCCCGTGTTTGAGAACTTGCGTGTATTTTAGCTTAATTTCGTAGGGGTCTAATTATTTAGTACCAATTAAACTGAATTTTCAATATTTTTCATAGTCTATTATTTTCTTTTGTACTGATGGCATTTCTTTTTAAGATCGAAATCATAAACATTTAACTGGTCATTGTACAGTTAAATAAATAAACACTTTTTCGTGATTTTTCAATTGTCTTTGAATTACTTTGGGCTAGTTATCTGTTAAAAGTGGAATTGATAACAAAAAACTATAACATTTACTGTATCTTCATTGACACTGACATTTTGAAATACGGCAGTGTACGATTATTTTGTCGTACAAGGTTGGCAACGCTCCGTGCAGTGGGCGCGGCCGGGTTAGCGACTTCCAGAGTTAGCGAATTCCGCCGCGAGACAAAATCGAGTTAGCGGGTTCCGGAGTTAGCCAATTCCTTACTGAGACGGTTAGCCAGTTCCAGAGTTAGCCAGTTCCGACACACGACCGAGTTAGCGAGTTCCTGAGTTAGCCAATTCCTACGTCTCTTCAAAATCACTTGGGTCTTAGCACTCATCATGGCCATAGCTGCATTACAAGCCCTACTATTTGATCTATAGTTTTGGAAGTTCAGTTTTGGTCAGTTATAAGTGCTATGATTCCCAGATAGCACGTAAGCTTGATTCAAGCCTTGAATTACGCTTGCTTTTACTTGATATGACAGCTTTGAATTGTCACTTTTGATTCAAACTCGAGTCAAATGTCAACTTCGTGTAACACACTTGAATTACGCTTACAGTGGATTGAATTAACAGCTTTGAAATTTCACATTAGATTCAAACTGGATTCGAGTATACACAACACACTACTATTACGCTTGCACTTGCTTGTATTAACAGCTTTGAAATATCACATTAGATTCGAATCCGAGTCGAGTGTAATATTACCCACAATGCACTTCCATTACGCTTACGTTGGTTTGAAATTACAGCTTTTAAGTATCACGTTGGATTCGAATTGGAGTCGAGTGTAAGTTACCCATAATTCCGAGCGGGAACGACGCTAACGGTGGGACCGGCACTTGAAGACGCCATCGGCCATATTGCTTTGTTTTGTTTATTGTGTATTTGTGAGTGATTCATTCTCAATCTCTCTCATTGAGTTGAGAATATCGATATTCTGGTGCTGAGTTGTTCAAGTTATTATATTATATTGTTTAAGCTGATTTGTTATTAAGTTTCATCTAGGCCTATTTCTTCTTATCCATCAAGGTAAGTTCTTATTAGCACAAACTAAGTAAACTCAAGGATTGTGACTAACAAAATCAAATCGTCTTAAGTTAATTACAAGAATAGCCTAGGAAGAAATTAAGTAAACTCAAAATCAGTGAAAATTTTGAAAGAGCCAAGTAAGTTATAGCCTAAAGCCAGCCACTTTTGAGTTGGTAAGCCTACGTGCAATGAGTAGCCTAGCCTAAAAAATAAATGTTGTCAACTTATCGGCCTAACTTTGAGTTGTTTGTATGCATAAAAACATATTTTTTTTACCAGCTTGGATATCAAGCTCTCCATGTAAAATACTTAGGTATTGTGGTACTGGTATGGTCTAACTTAGGCCTAGGCATTGTCTTCGCTGTTCATAGTATAGACTATGGTAGGTTATAGCCTAGATTAGCCATAATGGGCCTAAGTTACGTTGTAGTCTATTCTATAAAGCTGGGTTTTTCTAGGCGGGGAGAAAGTAGCTTGGAGAGTGAACTCCTCTTGTCTTAAATAGTTTAATGTTACCGGTACTGTTTTCCTAGGAAGCAGAGCGGAATGCCATGTTAATCGATTTTCCGCTCTCCGCGCTCCTCTTCCGCGTCTAGGAAAACCCGGCTTTAGACTTAACTTAATGCCATATTTTATACCATGATATTTTAATGTGTAGGTAACGTATAACTTAGGGCTAGGGACTTAAAGCTAAGTTACTTCAGTAGCCTACTCGATAAGTATTTAAGCAGCTACTTTGTTAGTGACACTGTCAGATAAATAGCAGTAACCTACGTTTAATCGCAGTAAGAGTCTGGTAAGCTTTCAGGCGATTAGTTTCTGATAAAGGTAGGCTACAAAATTTCTTCTCCATTAAACTAAAAATTGGCATTAAGTTAGGTTAACTTACTTTGAGTTAGTCCACTTAACTTAAGGCCTATTTTGCTTGGAGGGACTGTAGCGATAGTCGCACAGCGATTATCGCTCAGTTACTATCGCTGTTACGGCGACCGTTTTGCTTAAGAGCGATTGATTTACGGTCGTTGTACGATTTTTCATCAGCACTCACAATGGTGAGGTCATGAGTGCGTGTTGTAACTTTTTAAACTATCTCCTCAGGGAGGAGTTAGAAGACGAGGCTCTACTTGACCCTAGGGGAAGTATCAATAGACGATCGATAGAAAATACGTGGTGATAGGATAGGAGTGAGTGATAGGGTTTGGAACGGATGCGTATCACTAGATGTCATTATTTAGGATATAAATAGAAAACTGTAGGCTAGTTTAAGCTACTTATTAAAATCAAAATTAAGAAAAATGCAAAGGAACCTAAACCTAAATAAATAAGTAGGCTAGGTTATTTATTTAGGTTTAAGTTTTTTTGCATATTTCTTAATCTTAATCCTTTAGCCTATAGCAAAATAGGCTAGTATAATTAAATAACTTCTTGATCAGCATTTTACGTGTTATTAAATTTACGGAAAGTAAATAAAAGAAACGTCTTATAACACTTAAAACATATATTTACGCTTATACTGTTACTCACAAGACGGTAAATATACAAAACAGATGGTAAGTGGTGATCGATTTCGATTGGAGTGTCCAATCGAAATCGATCACCACTTACCATCTGTTTTGTATATTTACCGTATTGTGAGTAACAGTATAAGCGTAAATATATGTTTTAAGTGTTATAAGACGTTTCTTTTATTTACTTTCCGCTAGTATAATATAATCTCACTAATATTATAAATGTGAAAGTTTGTGTGTTTGCTTGTTTGTTTGAAGTTCAATCACGCATTAAGTAACTACTGGTCGGATCGAGCTGAAATTCGGTATGATGATAGCTTTCGTTCCCAATTAACATATAGACATATTCTTATCTCAAAGACCCATTCAGGCTCCGCCCCAGTGGCTTTGGAGATTTCCATGTTAACCTTATCAGTATTCAAATTTAAAATGAATAAAATAATTTTACCAGCGGTTTCAACTACACGAGTTGGTTCTATGATATTCAATAGTACTAAAAAGTTATAGTGTTTACTAATAGGGTGCAGAACTATAATTTTTTTCATATATGACAACAGCTTATTTGACCCAAGCAGCAACAAAAAGCTATGATACACAATGGGAACTGACAAAAAATAGGACTGTTTACAGTTATGCTTAAGTTTTTTAGTTTTTTATTTATAAATAATTTGTGATTGTGCGAATATTTGGTAACTTATTCGTCTCTATTGTTTAGGTAAAGTGGTAGCACATTATTATGGCTAGGCCTATAGTAGATGTGTAAATTACCGTAAAGTTAAAAGAACCAAATTTACTCAAACTGTGTCCTCCCCCATTGCAAACACAAAGCACGAGTATAACTGCAATAAGCATTTTATACTTATACGCCAACCCCGTACGAAGGACGGGTACTCTGCTAGTATACAATACATATAAAAATAAATTTGATTAAAATGTTTTTCGTGGACCCCACATTCCCCACAAAAAAATGCTTGCGGACAACACCTAGAGAAACTCTGACCTAAGTTAAACTTAATAATTTACATTGAATGAAACATTTTAATCTGAGTCAAACATTTAAAGTTATAAATTTACTTAAGTATTTTATGGGAAAATAACATAATCCTTACTTAACTTAAGTTAATATTTTAAGGTTACCTAAGTTAAATTATCGAATAAAAGTTGCATCTGATGATATAAAATAGGCCTTTTGTAGGTTTGTTGCAGAACTGTACCTGGGTGTTTTAACATAAATAATATAAATATTTTATAACTAAAATAACTTAGGTCTAGGCTTAAGTTTCACAGGTTATGTAATAAAGATCTTCTAAATAAAGTTATACACATCGGCCTACGGCTGGATTTTTTTTAACCAGAAGCGGTTAAGATAGGCACTGTAGGGGTGGCACAATTTTTATTTCACCTGCGGAATTTTAATACGGACAAAATGAGAGTAAAAAAATTAAAAAATGTATAATTTGTGTAATATAAAAATTAAACTGTCATAACCTAACCTTACTAACCAAACTTGCTGATAATCGCTACTGATAATCGCTATTACTAATCGCTACTGAATAATTTACTACCTTTAGTCCATCAGTGACGTTGAATATTAGGATCGGTCTATTTTGATCGCCCTACCGGCGCAAGTACCGATCAGTAGTGAACTTGTTAAACAATTGATTTATTAAAATATTAAGGATACCTAATATGAAAGTAAAATCTTGAACTTCAGAAATTAAACTTAACCCCATGTTTGAAATGGGAAGACAAACTTTAGGTCTTAGGGGTTAAATGTAGGCTACTATTCTGTATTAAGTTCATTTGAAGTTTTTTTTTTTTTTTTTAGCTGCTGCACAGAAAATTTTGGGCATAAGTGAAGTCACGGAAGCCAAAGTTACAAGCGTTTTTGCTAAGTGGCTTCAACAAGCCAAAACCAGATGTGAAAGAAGGTAAGGATAAAAAATTGTCACTAACTAACTATTCAACTCACCATTAATAGAATTCCATTGGTAGCCTAATAATACTGTACAGTGGACTCAATTATACAGGGAAGGAGACACTTGAAACTGACGTGCCCAACAACATACTTACAACTGCATACTTGTTACATGATTAAAGTCTAATGCAAAATATATTTAAGCCAATAATGTTAATTCTGTAAAAATAGCCAAACTATAGACACTTTGGGATAATTACTGTAAACAAAACACAAGATGCCAAGACTTTATACCTTTTAAATATTTTAATCTTAAGACATGTGATGAAGAGTCTCAAATCTATCCTACAAGACAAGTTGTTTCAGCACCGCTCACTTCCTGCCGATCCAGGGTGGTTAAACCGTACTGATAAAAATTGTCTGGTTTAAGAATTATATCTGCTGAGTGCAGTCTGGTTACTAGGTGTTCGGGTAAAAAGGAGTCTACTGCATAATGGTTTTTCATAAAAATGTTTTTTATTGTTTATCATTATGATTACTCAAGTACTGTATAAGCTAAAAAATACCCCCGCCGCAGCAAACCTGCCGACTAAGTTAATTTCCATTTGCCTGAATTGATTTTCAATTAAATGTATTTAATTAACATTAGCTTTAATGAGTACATAGGCTTGCTGCTACAAGGAGGGTAAAAAAGTGTGTTTTTTAGTAAAATATTAATTACTTAGTATCAAATAAATAAATTTACCAAGTTTGGTCAAAAACAAGCAAACTACGACATTTTACAATATTCTCCATAAGAATAACATGGGAATTTTAAAATATATATTTTTTTTCTCCGTAACCAATAATTGTACAAAAACACTTTGATATACTAAATCATTTGTTTTTTTAAGCTCTTTAAAAAGGTTTGGAGAGAAATTGGGAAAATTTGTGATTAAAGGGTCAAAAATTAGAAAAACCCATTTTTACCCCATAAAACCCCGTTCCCATGGTCCGATCATGCTGGTTCACAAACTTATTCAAGTTTATCCCGCTCTGACACCTTCAAACCAAATTTCATCAAAATCGGACAAAAATTAACTTAGCCTACACAAGTTATCGTGTTCACGGACATATAATCTATATATACATATATAAAAATGTGAACGAATGGTGTTAATGGGCTCTGGGGACATCAAAATGAAAAAGTTAATTGGTTCCGGGCCTAGGTCTTACCATGCCACCTACGGTAATAGATTTTTTCCTATAGGGAAATTCGCCAAAAGAAAAATGCTAGTATTTTTATTCTTGTAGAGGGGTTTTCATGTTTCATAGCAATGCTGGGCTTACCTGGATTAATTTATACAGTAAATTAAAGCTTATATATATTTGTAAAGTATGAGCAAGATTTGTAACTAATATCTTGGCTATATTTAGGATAACCAACCAAGAACTATCACTAGGGTGGTCTGCCGTTACACTTTAGACGCATAAATGAGCGAAGCATTATTTGAAGATTAATGGCTAAAGCAGCTAACAACCTACAATATGTTCCCTTTCAACAGATTCACCGTTTGTTTGCCCGATATTATTTAGGTTCTAAAGAATGACAAATTTATCTGATAGTTCATTTATTTAGTTAAGAATAAGAATTGATAAAAGCCTGACCATTTGCTTGTACTTTGTAAATGTGCATAGCGGGATGTACTTGTGCAATCAACATTTGTTCTACAATCGTCAGGTCAGTTCATTCGTTCGGGACACTTGACACATCCATATTATTTAACACCGTGAATTTAGTTGCATTTGAACGACAACGCGAACTTTTGGTGATTGGTTTGAACACCAAAAAATTGCTTGAAGCTGTTAGTTGTTGGTGATGACAGTTAGTGCAAATGTAAAATTTTAGTGCATCTAATTCATGTTGGAATTGATTAGCTAACTGCCTATCATTATCAGCTTCTTCTACCACTGCTTCATCTGGTTCTTCTTGTTCACGACGCCACTCTCTTACAATATTTGCGTTATTGGTGCGTCGACCAATATTACGACGTGGCCTTTGAGGCATGCTCAAAACAAATATAGCAAAACTGTTACTTCCATTGATAAACTGTTACATTCCAACTTTAACCTAGGATGAAAGTAAACATTGAAATGTAAACAAAACAGTTACAAACAATTAACATATGTTTATCTTAATTAAATGAAACGAGATAAACCCATATGTCATAGACCCAATATAATTTTTCTTTCAACTTATATTAAAATAACAAGCGAAATTGCGTGACGCATAAAATAAAATCCAGAAGGAAATTTGCAAATATTTTTTACCTAAACATTGTGCTCAGTATTCTTTAGCTGTTGGCCAAATTTCATATCAATTGTTCAAGCCATTACATTCTGATGCTCTTACAAAGAAGTTTCAAAGTGAGGGAAAGTGAGCTTTGCTCAACTAGTTTTATACTTAAACCGTAAAATACAAAATCCCGCAGATTTACCTAATTATTTTATCGAAGTGATAATGCCGCAACGCCTAGGTTTTGCCTGAAGTAATGTGAAAACAATCCTGGGCTTGTGTTTAGCATTTTTTGACAATCAAAATGTAATTGTGTTTTATACATATTAATAATTAATACTAATATTATTGGGAAGATCATATATTGTATTTGTATATCATTGTAGGAATAAATTAATTTTCACTAAACAGGCCTACACTGGTTGTGAGTTAAACTGTGTTAGTTTAAAATGTTGCTTACTTGCCTATTTTTTTATACCAGATACAAAATTAATCATTTTGGTTGATTATCCTTAAATTTAATATTGATTCTATTTGTTTTGACTTTTTTCAGAGGGAAAAAAACCTGCCACTGTGGACAGTGGGGAAGAAGTTCCACTCAATGGGGATGAAGATCTTGTTGAATAGATAACTTACTCTGTATTATTTAAGTAATCGTAAAAAGAGGAATTTTTGAGGGAACTGTTTGTTGAAAGTTAAAGATACGAGGCATTTTCAAATGTGAATGTGTTATGTAAATCTTCAATATAAATCTATTTAGACAAATTATCTCTTGTGTTTTATTTTTAATTTCAAAGAATTCTGAATTCTACGTACTGAATAGTAATAATATGTAAAATTGTAGGGTTGAAAACTATAATAACTCATGTTTTCCTGCTCTTTTATGAAAACAAGTTTTTAGATGGTAACTCGCTTTTTTATTTAGAGAAGTGTCTTAGCATGTAACAACTAGAGGCATTGAAGTTATTAGATTATGTCGTGATTGTGTAAAATTATCTGAAATATTGGAAAATTATATTGTGCTATGCATCTCAACCTAAAAAATATGAAATTTTTATTACATGTAAGACTGTGAATCCTGGTAAAAGCATATGAATTAAATTTTCAGAAATAAAAAAAAGAGCTTGTAAGTGGCTAAAAAAGAATTATTTCTTGTATTCTTCAATTAATATTCAAATAAGATGTTTCAATTTTTATTCAAATTAGATATTTCAAGTTTTATTAAAATTGGATCTTTTAAGTTTTATTCAAACTGGAAGAGCGGGAACTTCGACGCATGATTTTAACTTGAATCAAGTTTACAAACCCGATCCTTCAAGTTTGCAGTTTTGACAAACCAAACTTATTTCAAGCTTGAATCAAGTATTTTTTAATTTATATTTAGATTTGATAGTTCAAGTGTTATTAAAATTAGATGTTTCAATTTTTATTTAAATTAGAAATTTCAAGTTTTATTCAAATTAGATGTTTCAAGTTTTATTCAAACTGGAAGAGCGGGAACTTCGACGCATGATATTAACTTGAATCAAGTTTACGGGCCCATCCGAGCAAACTTGTTTCAAGTTTGCAGATTTGACAAATCAAACTTGTTTCAAGCTTTAATCAAGTATTTTTTGCTATCTGGGTTTGGTTAAATTGTTTTGGGAATGTCAATCTTGCCTTTCCGTTACAGCAACACTTGCTAAAAAACACCTGTAGCTGTTTTATAAAGCATCACAAAAAAAAAATACTTAATTTATTAGTCCAAATTCAAAAAGAGGGGGATTGTCACTAATCTACTTAAACTACAGTATATAAAAAACAATCTTTCTAAAGAACAAAAATAAATTTTGTAAAACATGCCATCCAAACAATATTTGCAAAAAACTATATCTCATCCGGTTTTGTAGTTCCTAAACAGTTTTTCAAGAGGATTTTTTCTTTTTCTTTTCTTTTTCCTAGGATCGCTAGGCACGAGCCCATGATTGTTTTTCTCATTACTTCAGGCTAGACCTAGGGGTTGTGGCATTATCACTTAGATAAAATCCATTGGTGATTTGGCGGGATTTGAACTCGGGACCTCAGGTAAAGTCCCGTGCTCTAACCACTAGACCAGCTCGCTCCCCCAGTTTTTCAAGATGTTAGAAAGACTAATTGACATACCATGTTTCTTCTGAGTCTTGGTAAGGCACTTCGTCCAGCTGTATATCTAGGGTAGCTTCAATGAGGTCGTCAGGTGAAGTGAACGGCTGACCCGTCCGCTCAACACGCTGCCTCAACGCAGACTTTACCCGGGACAGGTCCAACCCAATCTGCAGGGCTGTCTGTAAATCAACCATCAACCACGTTTAAGTGATAAAGAATTTTGTAAAAGTAAGCAAAATGTTTTGATTTATTCTTTGGTAATTTTTACGGATATTTTGATTCTAGTTAATGATTTCAAATCATATTACAGAGTGTCTAACAGTTGATCGAACAAAATTTCAGTGACTTTGAGGGGAGGGGTAATCCAGCTACTAGGTCACGAATTGTGGATATTTATAGGCATACACTGTGGATGGGTACTCCCTTGTGTGGATTAACGTCCACAAGAGTGAGTACTACGACTATCCGCAGTGCTATCCTGATAATTAGACCTATTCGTATACACAAAGGCAAAAATGTGGTTCGGATTCCACTATAAACTGTAGGTCCCTCAGTTGCCATTAGCTGTATAGGCAGCTGTGTCTAACAGCTGTGTATTTAACAGCTGTGTCTAAGGAATGTCGGCATTGGTCACTAACAAGACTACAAGATCGTGCCACTCATCCTACACTCATCTCCATTCATACTTGGCTTAAAATACCTACTTTGTATGGTCGCCATTTTATAAGAAAGTATTAAAAGTATTAATATCTAAGAAGATTATCATATGATAATAATCTTCTGCTACAGTTTTTGTTTCAATTTTTAGTTCTCAAAAGCTTAATTTTTTTTCTTCTGTTCCTAACTCTTAGTTTTGTTGTTTTGCACAATTATTGTGTTGTTTTATATTTACTCCTGTTATGTAGGCATATGTAAAATTTTGTACTCTTGTTAATTAATTTTTACTACGTGAGTTTTTGTTATATCATTGACTATACCAATGGTTATATATGATCTTCAGAGGTTTATTTTTAGCGAATTTCCCATATAGGGAATAAGCTTTTACCGCAGGTCTCATGGTAAGACCTAGACCCGGAACCAATTTACTTTTTTGTTTTGAGGTCCCTTGAGGCCAAAAACACCATCCGTTTTAAATTCATATATATACATATTAATATTATATATGTGTCCGTTAGCGCGATAACTCGAGCAAAATGATCCGATTTTGATAAAATTTGGTACAAACGTGTAAACCTACGTTTATTTGAACGAGTTCGCGAACCAGCTTAATTGGATTATGGGAATGGGGGTTTATGAGGGATTTTAAGGGGTAAAAGATGATTCTTTCAGTTTTTTACCCTAAAAAACAAAATTTCATAATTTCTCTCCAAACCAAAATTTTGTAGAGCTTAAAAAAATAAATAATTTTGTATATTTTGTATATGTAATTTTGTTGTCCCAGCATTGTTGTATGCCCAACGGTGAAGGAGATAATTGAAAGAATTTTAAATTTAAAATTCCCATGTTATTCTTATGGAGAATAAGTAAACTGTTGTAGTTTACTTGTTTATGCATATATTTGGATCAAACTTGGCCAATCTATTATTTTATACTAAGCTATTAATATTTTACAATAAAACATACTTTATTACCCTGTAGGCAGCAAACCTATGTACTCGTTAAACCTAATGTTATTTGAATAGATTCAATTAAAAATCAAATCAGGCAAATGGAAATTCGCTTAGTCTGCAGGTTTGCTGCGGAGGGGGTATTTTATGTAGTTAAATCCTGTAATTAATTATTGTCAATAATAAAGTTGTTGTTTGTTTTATATTATACCTCCTTGTACCTTGTAGGCCTAATGTTCTTGCTGTCTTTTTAATTACAAAAATGCATGTACTAAACTATGAACTATGTAATCATTTTGTAAACTGGTTTATGCCGTGAATAAATTAATTGAATTGAATACTAAACTATACCATTCTACTTATTTTATAACTTATAATAAAAATACCCCTGCCGCAGCAAACCTGCAGACTAAGCGACTTTCCATTTGCCTGATTTGATTTTCAATTTAATCTATTTCAAAAACATTAGGTTTAACGATTACCTAGGTTTGCTGGTACATGGAGGGCAATAAAGTGTGTTTTTTAGTAAAACATTAATAGCTTAGTATAAAAGAAATAGATTTGCCAAGTTTGATCAAAATATATACATAAACAAAAAAAAAACAAGCAAACTACAACAGTTTACTTATTCTCCATAAGAATAACATGGGAATTTGAAATTTACAATTTTTTGCATTCTATCCAAACCCAATAACCATACAAAAACACTTCAATATACTAAATTATTTGTTTTTTAAGCTCTTCAAAATGGTCTGTAGAGAAATTGGCAAATTTTATGTTTTGAGGGTAAAAAACAAGAAAATCCTATTTTTTTACCCCATAAATCCCCGTTCCCATCATGCTGGTTCGCGAACTCGTTTGAATAAACGTAGGTTTACACATTTGTACCAAATTTCATCAAAATCGGATAATTTTTGGTCGAGTTATTGCACTAACAGACATATATATATATGAATTTGAACGGATGGTGTTTTTGGCCTCTGGGGACCTTAAAAGGAAAAAGTAAATCGGTCCCGGGTCTATGCCTTACAATGAGACCTGCGGTAATAGCTTATTCCCTATATGGGAAATTTGATAAAAAACATCTAAGTGTGTGAGGTGAGGAGAGGATTAGTTTTGAACGAGAATGAAAGATGCTTATTAGCACACCCATTAGTGAAAATGCTAAACCGATGATGGTTATGTTAAATTAATGGCAACCCATTTTCCAAACATACAACAGTGGCACTGACCGTAGCTGCTGGACTGCTCATCAATCTCTCCAGTTCCTCCTCGGACACTGGGTGCAGACAACACTCTACCGGCCTGGTATTTGTAATAGTGGCCTCCTGCAAGCATAATTAAGAATATGACTTTTATAAACTATCAATTTACTAAGTATTTAGCACATTTTATAAAATACAGAGCTTTATCTAACGGATATTAATATAATTGATAATTAGATTTATCATCATAGATCATTGATTAATAGTTGGTTCAATCCTGAAAAAGGTTGAAATCTCTACCCAGCTGTCCTTGAGAAACTGTTGATCTTGGTATTAGTAGCATTGACTATACACAGAATAGACTTCCCATGTGATATGAAAGTTCGAAACCAAGAAAATAGATGAAGTTCAGGACCATCTCACCAGAGGTTATTAGTGTATTGGATTGAATCTTTGACTATTATAAAGCTATTATCCAATAGTCAATGGTTGAATATTAATTAAAACAATGCAGTATAATAGCAAACAGCTGATTGATTAATCACTTAATACAGAATAACACCGTATATCCGATTGAATTTAAGGATTGCCAATGCCAATTGTGTGTGACAGAATTTACTCATAAATCAATCTTGAAAACAAAATGTTTTAAGCAATGTAAATATTGTTTCTTACAGCAATTATCTACCAAAGAACTGACTCAAGAGCTTTATACCTCTAGCAATATTGGTGGATGTTGAGTCAGACAAGTGTTAATGAACTTCTCTCCCTTGATCAGCAGCAGGAAGCCACAATCTGGGAACCACCGTGCGTGCTCCACCCATGGGTCATCACTTGGATCCCACTTACGCAGACCTCCGTTGCAGTGGAAGCACCGAACCTGGTCACTACTGCCTGAAAATAGTTCTTTCTCGTAGAAAACCTTTGTCACAATAAATAAACTAAAAATTCAATCACACAGTGAACATCCAGCATTAATATGGGTTACATCATGCAAAATCAAAATTAAAAAGATCAGTTAAAGCATTTTGCTCTATAAATTTTGACATGTTTGTACAATAATAATGTAACTACCAGTTAAAAAAAATCACACTCTCAGCTGTTGAGCTATGTTTTAATGGTAGGATTTCTTCCTTTAAACCGGCAAAATTTTGTAAACGGAGTATAACAAAAATAAAATATAGATATAGTACGATTTAGACTGGATCAATTTGAGCGGAGCGAGCGAAACTTTTATACGTAGACTTTTATGCATTTCGTAATACGGAAACTCCTCCTAGATGGCTGAAGCAATCATTTTCAAATTTTTCATGGCATATCGCTGAGTGCTAACATCTAGATATGGTGTTAAAATATTCTTTAAGGAATTCGTCCCACGGGCCCTCTTTCAATGTTATCCTTATGGAAGCAGTATCTGACACCAAAAACAAATACATAAGATCAGCTGTTGACTTAAAGGAATTATTGTAACTGTTGTTAAATATATTAGAAAAGGAATGGTATGATCATAAAGATAAAAAGTCACTAGCTCGAGCCACTGATAACATTAACATATGGTTTGGACGTTTTTTAAAAGTTAAATTTAAATAACAATACAAACATGTTTGCTTTCGGGATAGTGGCGCCATTTGTTTATGATCAATACCGTTTCTGTTATAATACTCGTGTTGTTAATCATCTTGTTATGAACTATCTAAGTGTGATTAATTCTTAATTTAAGTTTGAACATGTTTAAATATTTAGTACCAGGGGACCGACCGTTGCTCGTTAGTGTTTTTGCTTGGAAAATAAAAAATATTTAACATCCATATTTATGATTTTTTCAACATAATAGCACACAGCCATGTGTGGGGTTGAAAAAGTAATTAAGGATTCTATGTCATCTTGTTTGATTTGTCAAAGTACAAGAAATGCTGCTGGGCCATTCCATGTCAAGTCATCCAGGGGTTGTCACCCACTAGTCACAGATTCCATTATTAGAAATTAAATATACTAACTAAACCATATGTTGTAAAGACAGATTCAGGGATATGAGAACACTTTACTAACCAGCGTAGTAGAAGCCCGCCTCGGCCAGGTCGTCAGGAGACTGTGTCACATCTCCTGGCCACGTAGTGTAAGTGGCAAGCCTAGAGTCCTTACTGGAGTACTTGGGGTGCTTGGCTACCCTGTGACTCTGCACACCAAGCGATTTCATTGTGCCTGAAACATCAGAACCATCTTGTCAAACATTGACTGTTCTTCAACTATGGGTTGGGTAATAAAATAACTGTTACAAAAAACAGAGAGAAAAACAAAGAGTCAATTAAACAAAAGTTGTTTGACTAAATTCACAAACATTAGAAAAGTAGGTTAACTTATTAGATAAAAGTTATAGCTTTTCCAAAGAGAGATTTTTAATAGCCTACAGAGGCAGTGCTCATCGCAATAAGGCGTAACTCTAGATTTTAAGGAGGGTTTTAAAAAAGCTGTAGAAATGTTATTATATACCGTACAAAGGCATACATACTCTCCGAGCAGTCGCCAGCGACTTGTCTCAATGTTATTCCAGAAGTGTTTGTGTTATCAGGTACAGAAAAGTTCAGTGCTTGGATGAAACTACAACCCTCTGAGTGGCGCCGATGCTCCTCTAGGGGGTCGTCTCCTCGCTCCCAGCGTCCGATAATCACAGAACAATATGCACAACGAACCTGGAATCACCATAACATCCTGCACTTAACAAAATCACATTGCAACTAAAAATATTTACAAAACTACCTAATTTTTTTGACGGATCCAATTTTTTAAATGTGTTTTCTACCACAATGATATTTTTTATGTTTTGAACAGTTCAACACCTGTTGTTGTTACTATCTAGCGTCGACCTTTTTTATTAGATCCATCATTAATTCATAGCCCAGTGATTAATAGCATCTGAGTCTCGAGAGGATCTCGCTTTGAATAGAACCAGCAACCTTCACATTTGAAGGCGAGCACTATAACCACTAAGTTAGCCTACCCAGACAGTTTGTTAATAAGTCGGAATCACAGGCAAACTGTACATAAAATTCCCATGTTACCGGTATTCTTATGGAGAATAAGTAATCTGTTGTAGTTTGCTTGTTCATCAACATATTTTGATTACATTTGGAAAATGCATTTATTTCATACTAAACTAATAACATTAAAATAAAAACACTTTTACCCTTCCTGTTGCAGCAAACCTAATTACTTGTTAAACTAATGCTATTTAAATAGGTAATGTAATAAATGGTATATTTTTAAGGAGATATTTTTTAAAGTAATACCTACCGGTAGGCCTACTGTATAGTGTAAATCCACTCAGGCAAATGGAAATTTGCTTAGTCTGCAGGTTTGCTGCGGCGGGGTATTTGTAACATCTTATCAATATGTATAAACACAATGTTAGATTAACTTATTCCCAAGTTAGTATATTTCTTATTTGAATTTAGTAAGTGGTAGTTTAACAAACCTTATCTCCTTGTCGAACATAGTAAAATCCTGCTTTAGCCAAGCTTTCTGGAGTTACAATAAATGGTACAGGCCAATTGGAGAATGTGTCTAGTCTCATCTGCTCATCATACATTTTATTCTCTTCAACACTTCCAGCAGCTGACCCTTGAACTACATTTGATCTTGTAGTAGTGAGATTACTATTTTCTTCCGGAGAACTTACTTGCAATCCAATGCCGTTGCTTGTAATTGGTATGTTTCCAGAGAGTGCAGGACTGAGTACAAAAGGACATCTTGGATCTAAAGTTCTGTGTCTAGCCATGACTTGATCATTATAATTCCATTCTGAAATCCTTGCCCCACACTTAAAACACTGAACCTCTAGGTTTTGCCCCATGTAGTAAAATCCAGCTTTAGCTATCCTCCTGGGATCAACTGGAGCATTTGATGGCCAGTTTCTAAAAGTTCTTAACCGACTCTCTTCATTATTCATCTTGAATTGAATGTTAGTCTATGCCACCAACAATTTTAATTTTGTAAATTAATTGATAAATCGTAGGACTAGGCCTTGTTCATGATGACAAAATTCATGAAGAATTCTACAAAATTGGTTGGTGCAAGCAAACCTCTAGGCCTAAATTAAGTTAGGCTTGATCTAAACTTAAATTAAGGCCTAGCATAAGACTTTATAGGCCTACTTTCTAGCCTAGAAGTATTTGTGTAGCTGTAGTATGGTAATATTTCAGATTGATTGATTAACCAGGCTTGCTGAAAAATATACTTGCAAAAACACATAGGCCTATTTCTTCAAGTGAAATTGATGAGCTCCACTCCACTCCTTAAAATAGGCTAGTAGGTAGCCTAATAGAACAAAATGTAATTTTAAAAAATAAGTTACCACCACACTATTTTAGAATAAGTATAAAAAACTACTTAAACATACTTAATCTGTAGTAGTTCATTTTTAAAATTATAAGTTAAACTTGATTCCTGCTTGCAATGATTATCCTTTAGAATAGAAGATAACCTACGATAAAAATATAAACACTAACACTGAACAAAAATGCAAAATGCTACATCTTGTCGGACTTGTCCTTGTCTTGTGCTGACTCTGACTGCTGGTGCTGATGGTGGTGCTGCTGCTAGTGCTGACTGTAGTAAGTGAGTTGAAATACGAGACCTTACCGTCAGACCGCCACCGCCCACCACCGCGCCGTGCAGAACGCATCATACCGTGCATAGCCGAACTGTTCGTGGGAAATTGTTATCTTTATCACTGTCGCTGTCAAAACGTGTCGTTTGTAGGTTAAATTAAATTTAAATGAATTTAACTGTCATAACCCAACCAAACTTGCTGATAATGAATATTTCAAATGAAGTACTAATAACAAAAATTGTTCTGTTTATGAAATAAAATTATAAATGTCTCAAAATCAATTCTATAATTTTTTAATTATAAAATTACACTATCATTACCTAACCAAACCAACCAAACTTGCTGATAATGATACAAATTCGAGTCAAAAAGTTAATGCCTCCGGTGGGTTTCGAACCGGCTACCTCCAAATTATCAGCCCGGTCGCCCGGTGCGCTATCCACTACACCATCGAGACCTACGAACACGAAAGGGTAGCGGATTTTTATCCCCCTGGAATTGTACCCCCTGGGCAAACGTGACGTCACAAACCAGGGGGTAAAATTCCGGCCGCGAACTTTTGAGTTTCGCGACATCAGCTCGATGGATTAAACGCTGAATTAACACTATTTGTGCTGTCGACATGTTTGAACATAAAAGTTGCATTTATTTCAATGTTAAGCAATTGCGGGAATTCCCGTCATCAGCACCCAACGTGTTAAACATATATTTTCACGGTTGTGAATTTAATCAAAACACATCAAATTATAAAAACCTAGAGTGTACGGCCCGGATTTTTACCCCCAGAATTTTACATCCCGGAATTTTACCCCCCCCCCCCGGAATTTTACCCCCCGGATTTTTACCCCCGGATTTTTACCCCCGGAATTTTGCCCCCGGAATTTTGCCCCCTGGCCAGATATATAAATTAGTGAGAATGATTAATTATCTTCATTCTGTTTTAATTTTATAGTAAACATTTTATTATTAAGTAGTCTGCTGTATATTAATTTATTTGTAACATAAACTAATCGAACAAGTTTTTAATTTTAATTTTGAGATTCTAGTATTGGGATTCGATTTTTGAAGCCAACAGTTGGTTGATATGACGTATAAACAATCATCTTAATGATAATTGTATTGTTTCAAACATTTCTTTACAAAATAAATAAATAAAGATAGGCTACTTAATAATGAAATGTTTACAATTAATTAAAAACAGGAATAAGAAAATCAATAATTAAATTTCTAAAATCGGACAGGGGGTAAAATTCAGGGGGGTAAAAATCCGGGGGTAAAATTCCGGGGGTAAAATTCCGGGGGGTAAAATTCCGGGGGTAAAATCCGGGGGTAAAAATCCGGCCCGTACATCTTTAGTTGTCTAAACGCTAGTTATATGGACAGGGGGTAAAATTCCGGTTTTTATCGCTAATCTAATTAATCACGCTCTGGCTATTTTCATTAGACTTCCAAATCCGCGGGGGTAAAATTCCGGCCGCGAACAAACTTTTGGCCACTCAGGTTCCTACGTCATAGTATAGTGACGTCAGCTTTGCCCAGGGGGTAAAATTCCAGGGGGATAAAAATCCGGCGACCCAACACGAACGGCTGTCCAGTGTATCGTTTAATGGTGTTCGCTCGAGCAGTGGTGGGTGGTGGCGGTCTGTCGGCAAGGGTTAATGTAATACGGCTGACCGATTATTATAACAGCTCCAGCTGTCGGCTGTCTTGCTTGACTCGTGAGTCATGAGTGTCGACTCGACAGTGTAGTGCAAAAACAAAGATGGAAAGACTGACAAAAACGTTCGTGTTATTTGGAAGGAATTGTTTAGTTAAAAGTGCTGAGGTAAGGTAGACAGGATGTTTAATTCAGTTATTATAGGCCTACTTCTTGCAAGCTTCTTTTAAGGAATACAATATTCTTACATTTCCATCCATATAGGCCTAGGCTACATACTAAGTTAGGTTGTCTATAGTAAAAATAAATAAATTATTATTTATTTATTCAACAACTGAATGAAAATATCGAATAATTTTGATTCAATAACCTAACTAACCAAACGATAGGCTATAGGCTATCAAATAAAATACGGTAATCGATATAGGTTTATCGGTCGATGTTTTCATTCGGTTGTTTTTGACAACAGATACGGAAGTCTACCCAAAATAAGTTATACAAAACAATATTTTCAAATCAGCTGGTATTATTAGATTTGGTAACAACGCACGGTCCTGCACCAACTGGTGGACCTCCCTCAACTGCGGACTCTCGTGGACCTTACTGTAGTACACTTTTACTGACATAGTGCATCAGCCAGTCGGCTAATATATGGTTTGTTGCTATTGCTATGCTAGTCTAGTGGTTAGTGTCCCGGACATAAGATGCAAGAAAGTAACTTAAAGCAGTGTAATGGGTTTCTTGTTGGAATTAATAAATAAATCAATAAGATGTACTGGTTTGATTCCCAGCATGTTCACAAAACATTAAATGGGTTTGGACCACAGAAAACATACTACTGGACTGCTTGTTTGTACCTAACTTAACTTATTAAGTTAGCCTAGCTTCCATTAGGCCTAATGATCTGAAGAAATGGTACAAAGAAAAGGTAGCTAAGCTTAAAAAAACTCCCTACTTCTTCTACAAGAAAGTTTAAACATTTCGTTCTATCTAAATTAATGTTAAAAAAATTACAGGACAGGCTGTCAACGACACTACAACAAGTCCGATCACTTCAGCTGTGGGCCGATTGGAGAATGAAAAAAGATGTTAGGAAGCGAAAAGCACTTGAAGATAATTATGAACTGAAACTAAGGTACAATGCTATGAGAAGAAGTAATATCCTTCCTCCAGAGATAAAAGTAAGTATTTTATTAAATTGTTAACTAAATTAACAAGACTTTTTTTACCGATGCTTAACATTTTTTGCAGAGGATACGCGTCCGGTAACCGGACGTGGATTAGGCGTCCGGCAGTTACTGTCATAACCTAACCTAACCAACCAAACTTGCTGATAATGAAAAAAATCAAATGAAGGTTCAATTCTCTTCATAACAAAATTATAAATGCCAAAAATTCTAACAAAAGATGTACAGTTAAGAAGAAATTACATTCAAAGCAAAATCTGTGACAAAAAGTTAAAGAAACCGATGGGTTTCGAACCAGGGACCTCTTGGATATCAGCCGAGCACTCTATCCACTACACCACGAACAACGCTGGCCGAACATCACACACCCGGTGACGTCACTACCGGACGCCTAATCCACGTCTGGTTACCGGACGCGTATCCTCTGTGAAAATTTGTATCATGTTTTTTATATAACTGCTTGCCTCTAAGCTTAATAGGCTACTGATTTCTGTTCTTAACTGTCTAGCGGATGTGTGAGCTATAACTTAATGGGCTAATTAAATCAGGCCCAAAAGCAGAATGTTTTTAAACTTTCTGCAACGGACTTGGAAAATCTAAAGATTTTCTGCGGGCTATCGCGGTCCAAGTTGTGTGTAAATGAGCCGTGTGTGTGATAGTTTTAATGAATATTTGTCATTCGCCTATTGGGTCTGATGATGATTGGAGTGTCCAATCGAAATCGATCACCACTTACCGAAAATGCCGAAACCATTTTCAAAATTCAAAAAAAGATCCTTAGAATTATGACATTTTCAAAACCTAGGCGATCCTGTAAATTATTATTTAGAGGATTGAAAATATTAACAATTCCGTCAGTTTATATCCTGCAAACATTAATCTTGATAAAAAAAATCTTGAATCTTTTATGAATGAAAACCATAACCATAATTATTTAACACGACATCGAAATGATTTACAACTGCCCATTCATAGACTTACCTCACTTGAAACCCTTCCACAATATCTAGGGAAAAAACTGTATAAACTGCCTGATAATATTAAATCATTAGAATCTCTTGAAAAATATAAAAAAGAAGTTACCAAATTGCTGCTTAATAAAGGGTATTACAAAGTTAATGATTTTTTAAATGATGTATATATTTGATTTCTTAGCATATTGTATAGTTATTATAGTTTTATGTATTTTAATTGTCCATGACCATTTCACCTGTTTCCCAGCTATGGTGGATCTGTAAAACGTTGTGTGAAAATAAATGATTTGACTTTGACTTGACTTACCATCTTTTGTATATTTACCGTCTTGTGAGTAACAGTATACGGTAAGCGTAATTATAAGTTTTAAGTGTTATAAGACGTACCTTTATTTACTTTCCGTGAATATTTGGAAATAAATTTTAAACGCTCGTATCGGTTTGAAAACGCCTACTACTGTTATTAATTTGAATCGGTTTGGTAATTCAGTTATTCTATGCATTCTTCCTCACGATCAGTGCACCGAATATTGACTTCATAGCGTTTGTTTATATAATGCATGACATTTTGTAGCGTTACTGTAAAACGGAGAGGTTTTTGCAGAAAATAAAGCTCTCCACTTGGCCCTAACTTTGCAGGTGAAAATAAATAATCTAAAAAATAGGCTTATAACAGAATAAAAATAAAATTTAAAATAGCTAATAAATTAAACCAGTTGGGCAGGCTGGGCTATCTGCAGCCCTCCTCGTCTTTCTGCGATGTCGCACTGTCGCCCGTAGTTTATGCTTTGGAACAGTCAGGTAAAAAGTTTAATCAATTTAAGCTGCAAAGAAAAAAAATGTGTATATCAGCTATAATAATAAAGCAGCAACGTGAGCTAGGTTGGGTAGGACTACTACTACAAATAAGTAATACATACCCCTGCCGCAGAAAACCTGCAGATTAAGCTAGGTAGGCCTAATTTCAATCCGTTTGATTGAATTTTTACTAAAATATGTCCACAAACATGGAAACATGACATATTTATTCCCCATTTAAATAAGTTAACATTTTATTAAAGACTAAGTAGGCCTACCTACTTAGGTTTGCTGCTACAGGAAGGGAAATAGTGTTTTGTATTAAATGTTAATAGTAGGCCTATAATGAAATAGATATTTAGCCTATGCCTATTTTTTAATCAAAATATTAAAAAAATATATCAAAATATCTATAGCGGAAAGAACTTAAAATCACTCAACTGCAAAACATATACCACTGTTTAGGGGAGTGTAGTGGCGCAAATTCGCAACGCGACGGCACATGCACGTGGGTAAGAGAAGGGGTGTGGCCTACGGTATGGGGCCACCAAGCTTCTCTATAAATCACAATGTCGCATACTACTCAGTGCTCAGACAGACGCACTATGTTTTGGGTTATTTATTATGAAGAGTGAAAAGATTGATCGATAACTCCTCGATAAAATTTTAAGAGTAAGTTGATATTGAAAAAAAACCTGCTTGAGATGTGGCCTGGGGGCAATCTTCCCCCTCTGCCTCCCCCTCACAGCGTTCATGCGATCAAATGTGTTGCTAGGCCAATCGCATAAATGCAGGTATTTACACCAGTTCTTTAGTATTTAAATGCAATCAGGAGACTAAAATTCAATATAGCCTAATAAAGGTTTAGGTTTAGCATTGTATGTGGGTTAGCAAAAAAAATGTATATGGATAGCATTCTGAAGCAGCAAAAAGAGGCTATTTGAACTATGCAAACAAGATTATTTGGGAAAAAAACACTTTAAGAGATTATAAATTTTTAAAGTTTTTGGCAATTCTATGAAACAATTTGAATAGAAAAAAAAGGAATCAGAGGAAATAATAAGTTCATCACATTCTTAAAATTTCAGGAGAAGAAGGGAGTTTGTCCAGCCTCACAAATTAAAATATTTTGAAAAGAAACCCTCAAACCCTAGTTATTTTTTTCTAAAATTTGCTGTCCCTGAATCCATAAACAAAGGATCTATCAAAATAAAAAAAATGTAAAATAGTATATAATAAATTTTGTATTATACTCTTTTGATGAGTTTTGCACCTCCCAAAAATAGAAATTTTGTAGCCTGTTCAGTGCGATTCGCTTATGTTTACATTTTTATTCTCTTTTATAGTTTGTATTTTTATTTTATGAAATTCTAGACATTGGACACTATTCACTGTACAACCAATGTACATGATTTATAAATTAACATGTTTGACTATGACTATAAAATGGGAAATTTGCTGGCAAAAAAGCAAAAACTACGGATAGGAAAAAACACCATCACTTAAATCAACCATTTTGTGAACAAAACTTAGTTTGGCTACCAATACTGCTCTAGTTCTATGATGCTTTCATGTTGAGACTAAATTGTTTATTGTACGTTACATTTGTTATAAAGTCCTAGCCTACATTGGTAGGAACATATGTTATACAGAGGTTCCAACTAAAAGAAATTAACATAAAAATTATGTATATTGAGGTTGTCAGTACAGTCTATTCATAATGTAGGGAAATTCAAAAACTGTGATATCGAGGAATTTGTAGAGCATGGAAAGTATTTGAGTTTGCATTGTGATAAGGGGTTTCAAATGTTCTTTTAGGAGCTGGTTACTGCAGACTTCCATAAGAACCTACCAAACGATGTCAAAATGAACAAGATCATCCCACGCTGTGCTTTAACATCTCGTCCGAGAGGTAATGTTGTTAGATGGCGACTCAGCAGAATCATGTTCAGACATCTTTCGGACTACAATAAAATGGCTGGCATCCAAAGAGCAATGTGGTAGATCGTTGTAAATATTATTAAAAAGTAAATAAACTGTAGGAAAGATTTTTGTTTTTTTTCCTACGTAAATTTTAGTTTGAAGGTTTATTGTGATTCTTAGCCCCTATTTGTATATTTTTCCTTTAACTGTTGAATTTTAATTTCTAATATAATCACTAGGTTCACTGATCACTTGCCCACATTAAATAGATTAGATTCTCCTAATATCAAAGTGTACGGGGTGGAATTGTACCCCCCCCCCCCTAGGCGTGACCATAGACAAATAGAATAAATTTTGACCGGCAGCTGTGCTAGTTTTTGCGTCCACCGTGCGGTGGGCGCCGGAACCTTCCTTTGACAGTCCATATTTATTCTATTTGTCTATGGCGTGACGTCAAAATGATGACAACGATCGGTGGGGGGTACGATTCCGGCAAACCGTTTTTTGGGGGTGAAGGCGTTTGATTTTCGGAAACACCTAAGAGTGTCTTGTAGAAAATTTAATTCCTGACCATAAAAACTCTTACCGCTTTCTAGTTGTAGCCGTTTAAAAAATAGTGTTTTGTCATTTTCAGATGGCCGCCATTTTGGATTTTTGGGGAGGTTAAATTTGAAAATGGTACTTTTTGGATATTTTCTGGATAATTTAAGGTGATGTTCCACACCCTTTTCAAATTTAAAGCCTCTAGCACGTTTCTCAAAATGTTTCAGATTCATGGTTTTTATGGTTCAGATATACCAATGTCGGTCACATTCAATGTTAGGCTATTACCCATAAGAATAACATGGGAGAAATTTGAAATTTTGGGGCGCTTATTGCATACGCCATTTTAACAACTACTGAGCTGGGCGCTGACAGAAGCACGCTACTGCAACCTGGAAGAAATTCTGTGAAACTCTAGAACTTCCTCTTTCTAACAGTATATTGTTAGATCAAATTGGATTCATAGATGAGTAGCTATGATTTTCAAAATCGGACGATTCTTTTTGAAACACCCTATATTTTAAAATTAATATTATTATTTCACGAATCAGCTGTTTTTAACTAACCAACTTTCAAAACAATGTTTACGCAAAGACCTATTATAAACCTGAGATTTTACAATTGACTTTAAATAGTATAAATATACAGTACATCTTGTATCATTATAAAATCTGGTGCAAGTGTTGATGCGTGTTTTGTGTTTATGACATTTGAGGATACTGGCGTCAAATAAATGTTTCACTGATTTATGGGTAGATTTTACAATTTCTGATGCAGTTTTTTTATAGTTTACATAACTTATGGACAACTATATTCATAGCCCAGTCAATGAATGCAATAAAACAGCCTTTTTCGCAACTAAATGTTGGAAAGCTGGATTTTTTATATGTGATAAAACCACATGAGAGGTGTATTTTCCCAAAAGTCCCCACTTCTACCCCTTGAGCTTTCCCCCCCACCCCCCTCCAAACATAGAAATTGCAGTGATTTACTTAATTGATCATAATTCGAATGTTATGTAAGCTATCGAGCTGCAATTTGTTTTATTTATTTCTGATTAGTTTTCCTACAACTTTTGTATTTATAACATTTTTCTAAAACCAATACTTAGGGAGATACAAAATTTAAACTCCATTAAAAGCTTTGTTTCAGAGTGCAAAATCTTGTTTTTCTCTATGTATACTTTTAAATATAAATAATACGCAAATATGGTTCAAACAAAAGGTTTAGTCCGTTTTTCAAGGTTTACAAATATATTATTGGTTAGTCATCTAGGTGACCGGGTGAAGAGCTGAGCGTCGGCAAAGTAAGCGCGTGCGCGCTAGTTGAACACCTCTGCGCTGCGTCATCGCATCTAGCCCAGCCAATAAACGCACCAACTGCCTTTTTTCGTAGCTAAATAGTGGAAAGCTGAGTTTGTTATATGTGATGGAACCACTTAATACGTGTATTTTCTAAAAGTTCCCGATTCTCCCCCCCCCAACCCCACTCCACCCCAAAACCCCCTCAAAACCTGGAAATTACAGTCGCTCACTGTACTGGATATACTGTAATTCAAATTCTACGCATGCCATCGTAGTGAAATTTGGTTTGCATTTTTTATAATTAGTTTATCTACAACTGTTGTACTAAAGATTTTCTTATAAAACTATATCCACAGAGATATAACATTAAAACTTTTTTTACAATGTTTATGTTTAAGAGTACACAATTTTGTTTTACCCTCTATATATTTTTTCCCCAAAAAAATACGCAAAATGTTTCAAACAAAAACTTTAGTATGTTTCTTAAGGTTTATAAATATATATTTGATTAGTCATCTGAAAAAAACTGATGTAGTGTGGGGCGTCGGCATTGTCGGCAAAGACACCGGGTGCAGGCTTCCGCGCAGCACCGCCCGTCGATGCGTCGCGTCATAGGCACCGACATCGCTAAGTTCTCAAAGGTTTTATACAAATGCTATGGCCTTGTACTTTTTAGTTTACTACCAAAACAATCTGTATCCAAGCTTAACCGTTAACATTAAAAACAATTATTATTTAGATGGAACCAAATTTTTTTTTATAACCAGTTTTGGTTCAGGTAAATTAATCTCTACCTACTTACTTGTTATACTTGCAATACTTTTAATACTTGATTTCTTCATATTTGACCAACGAAAGTTTGATAGATTGAGGTATAGAACACTAGGCCTAATAAACACTTTAAAAATCACTATAAACATACTCTTTGCTCTTCCTTACGTTACAATGTGATTTCCATTATCTACCACCAATGGGACTAGCTTTGTTCCTCGCAAGATTTATACTAACTGCGCCTCGCGGTCAGTAAAGATCTAAGCAATAAACTGAAAAAAATACTAATTAGATGAAACCTAATCATTTGTACATTTCTTAAATTTATTGTTGGTTTTAACTTGTTTATCGTTTAAAATAATAATTTATTTAATTATTTCTGTCAATGGCTCAACCTATTGACAATAATATACATGGATACATATATTACATTACATAAAGCTGGGTAAGAAACATACTGAACCCAATGATGAGATGATCCAATTCGCCTATGGGTCTGAGGATGATTGGAGTGTCGAATCGAAATCGACGACCACTTACCATCTTTTATGTATATTTACAGTATTGTCAGTAACATTATAAGTGTAAATTTATGTTTTAAGTGTTAGACTATTAGACGTATTTTCTTTTATTTACTTTCCAATTAATTAATGTAATAAGGCATATATCCAAAATTCATAAATAAGTAAGTAAAAAACTATTTGTGTCCCCATACATGCAGGCAAGACTATTTACGGGATACATACAGGCAGATTATTCAAATTTCTTAACATATTGTGTAGATGTGTCAATCAAATTGAGTTTTTTTTTCGTAAAAATTGGCAGCAATGTTTTACGAATCTGCTTTACGGCACTAATACGTGGTCCAGATCAATCATTTTTAGAGACTCTATACTGTGAATCTTGGTGAGGTTCTGTTCTCTAATATTTTATTGTTTTCATGTTATCTAAAAAATTAGTCAGCATAATAGTTCTTTAATGGTTTTTGGTAGACATTATGTAAACGTTTAACATCGCTAATAAAGATGAAGGCGCTTATTAAGTGTTTTAAAATCTCCTCTATATAGACTTAATAAAAAAGTTAGTTTTAACATTGACTGGTTTTAATTTGTGTTCCTTACCATGATTAAAAATTTTTACTGACCGTGAGGTGATTCATTTAGTCACGGTTTAGCTTGGAAACAGATTGTTTTGGTATTAATGTTGGCTACAAATTAGGAAGTCTTAGGATTTATATAAAACAGTTGAGAACTTAGCGGTGCCGGTCCTTATTAGGCTATGTATCGACGGGCAGGGCTGCGCGGATGCTGATGACTAATCAAATATATATTTATAAACCTTAAGAAACATACTAAAGTTTTTGTTTGTAATATTTTGCGTATTTTATTTGGAAAAAAATATATAGAGGGTAAAATATATAGAGGGTTCAGGAACTTTTTGCAAAATTAACGTCTTAAGTGGTTCTATCACATATAACAAACTCAGCTTTCCACTATTTAGCGACGAAAAAAGGCAGTTGGTGCGTTTATTGGCTGGGCTAGATGCGATGACGCAGCGCAGAGGTGTTCAACTAGCGCGCACGCGCTTACTTTGCCGACGCTCAGCTCTTCACCCGGTCACCTAGATGACTAACCAATAATATATTTGTAAACCTTGAAAAACGTACTAAAACTTTTGTTTGAACCATATTTGCGTATTATTTATATTTAAAAGTATACATAGAGAAAAACAAGATTTTGCACTCTGAAACAAAGCTTTTAACGAAGTTTAAATTTTATATCTCCCTAAGTATTGGTTTTAGAAAAATGTTATAAATACAAAAGTTGTAGGAAAACTAATCAGAAATAAAACAAAACAAATTGCAGCTCGATAGCTTACATAACATTCGAATTATGATCAATTAAGTAAATCACTGCAATTTCTATGTTTGGAGGGGGGTGGGGGGGAAAGCTCAAGGGGTAGAACTGGGGACTTTTGGGAAAATACACCTCTCATGTGGTTCTATCACATATAAAAAATCCAGCTTTCCACCATTTAGTTGCGATAAAAAACATTTATTGACTGGGCTATCAGTTGGATTAGTATTAAAGTTAATTGAACTATGATAATCTTATAGCAAACAAAATACGCTTAAACCGGACAGAGCTAACCTTGTCTTGTCTTCAGTTGATCCATCATACTAGAGTATTTTTAGAGACTACATGCTAATGCTGAAGTTTTACATAAAGAAATATTTAGTTTAATAGCAAGCAAACAAATCACATTCCTTAGTTACATAAATCATAATATTTTTTACATAATTATCTCTAAAGCATAGGAATGAACATGAACTAGACACGATAAACAAGCTTCAAATTTACAATGGGATGAGAAGTCTACTTGTGGTTGGCTAGTGTATGGTAATAGCTGATTCTCTACACAGGAAATTCTCTAAAAATTAAGTATATACATCTTTAAATAAATTAATACGTTGTACTTATTACATAATTTGAAAATAACTTAGCTGCAATTTAACAGTGCTTTTTACAGTAGAAGT